TAATTTCATCAAAGAAAGTTTTAATTTGAAAATTAAAATTTTAAAATACATATCATTAATAAAAAAAAAAACCCTCAATTACTTACCAAAGAGATCATCTGAAATATTTAGTATATGGAAATAGACCAAAACTTTGTTTCCAAGAACATTGTGTAGGAAAACAAAAGGCCAAGAACCCTAAAAAAAAAAGCCAGAAATGAGCTCAACCCAAAAACAACACTAAAACTCAAGAAAAACAACCTACATCTAGCACTGCTATAATGACCTTATACCGTCCAACAAAGAAAAACAAGATTAAGAGGAAAACGATAAGAACAACCTAGGCTATTAAGACACCTATTTTTATGCATAAATATTGTTATATTGATTATCTTTCATATTCTTAATCATAAACAACATGACACGACATGTATTTGATTTAGACAAGTTCATCAAAAGACTAACAATAGCCCTATATTATTAAAAACATTATATTTATTTTTCTAAGAGTGTTTATTTAATGACTTAGGCTTCGTGGGAATACAGAAAATCATCATATAATGAGAAGTATGTGATTGCTGTATAATTAGAATGTATAACATAACATGATGAAGACTTTACAAAGGTAGGATAGGGTTGTTTAAATATTTTTTTATAACAAATAAAAAAATTATATAAAAAAAATTGATAGATCTTGAGACCAAAGTTAGTAGATTTAATTTAGCTGTGAATTCATGGCTATTAGATATAATTTTGTAATCACATAAATAATAGTTGGGTTTGGGTTTAACAACCAAATCAATCTTAAAACATTTAAAATATTTTTTATATTTTTGAGATTTTTTAAATTTAAACATTTAAATATTTTTTATATTTTTAAAATTTAAAAAGAAATTAAAAATTATTATTAACTTGTTGTAGATCAGGACCAATAGTTATTATATGTTGCAGAATTTCCCATAAACATTTAAGAGATTGATGCTTCATTTTATTGTAAATATAGGTTATTTAAGTCATTTTGTCTCCAACCTATAAAATTTTATTCGTATAGTTCAGTAAAGTAATATTCAATGGTTTTTCAATTTTTAATTTAATTCATAAAACTTTAAAAGTGACCCACTGAAAATATTAAAAAGAGATAGAATAAGTGAGATTCGAATATATGCTGCAATTAAAGAATTGTTTACACAAATTTGGTTACCATATCAACTTGTTAGTCATTTATACCCACTTATTATATAAAATCAACTACTTTGTTTTTAAAAAAAAAAGATAATGATGCGCCGATTGTTGTTGCATATGAAATGTTAGCTATGGTGATCAAGAAATTAATCTTTTTCATGGCTAAATTCTGTGTTAATCAATGATTTTTTTTCTATTTTAATTAAAATTCAGTGACTTTTTCTCATTTTAAAGACTTAAATGCTAAGAAAATAATTTTTTATACTAAAATAAAAATTACAAGACTATAGGAACCGTAAAAAAAGGAGGAAAATGTATGAGCATTAAATAAAACTTTACCTTCAAAATTTATATTCGTCACGAGGTTTCTCCTTATTTTTTACTTTGGTTCATTTTCTTTTAATTTTCCTTTTTCTTAACAAAGTTTGAGAAATTGATTCTAAAATTGGGTATAAAAAGATGAAATTAAAAAAAATAGAAAAAAAAACTACTACAACATCTTACCTAGGCGTTTTATTATAGTATCTAATGGTTTTAAAATATATGGTTAAAAGTCATGTTTATGGGGGGGAACTTGGCAAAACCCATTGAATTTACCCTTATATTTATTTCAATTATTCATTTATATCCTTATGTTTTTAATTTGATCAATTAATTCTTACGTGTTTTTTAATATGTAGAATTAACTCTTGTGGTCTCTAAATTTATCTAATTAATCAATAATTATTTCTATCAAGTCTCTATTATATTATAAACATTATGATATTACTAACAATAAATAATATTTTATTTATGAGATTATTTTTTATATCGTGTAAAGTCTATATCATCAAATAAATTATTTAAAAAAATAAATTCAAGGCAATTTACTTAATGATATTGGCTTTGCATGAGCATTTAAGTTATTAGATATTGAAAAATATTTAATTTTTATATAATTAGAATGCATAGTTTAACATAACGACTTGATAGTAGTTATTGGATTAATTGAATACATTTAAAAGACAGAAGGATTAATTGAATGAATTAAAAGAACACAAGGATTGATTTATATAACTAAAAATATAGTGACAAAAAAATAATTAACACACAGGTGTAAATTTAGAGTTTTGAAAAAAAAAAACTTAAAAATTAAATATGATGCGACGACTTAGGAAAAATAACACCGCCTTCCCCCTCGCCAAACTTGCCTGCAAAGTTCTTGAGGCCCCACCGTCATATATTTACGTGCATAACACTCTCTAACAATAGAAAATTAGAGTAGAAAGAAAAATTGAGAAAACAAAAAAGATAATACTAAAGTTTACTTCAGAGGTGTGGTTGTATTTGTATTACGGTAATATATATATATATATATATATATTGAAACTCAAGAAAATCCATCCAAAATGTAAAAAGAAAACCATGGATGTGACCATCTATTACTTATATTAAATTAGACATATAAAACGAAACTAAGTCATGTGGCATTTTTTTTTAATATGGTTTATTGTTTATTTTCTCTCAAATCACTATAGTTTGGAATAGTAATTTGTTTTTTAAAATTTTTAATTTAATCTTCAAACTTTTTTTTATTCAATTAAGTCATTTTGAGCTAAAATTAATATTCAATTGAGGATTGGGTTGAAAGATAAATAATCAATATATATATATATATATATATATATAAACGAGTGATATAAATGGCGACTTTAAATCTTGCATGAAATATTTATTTTGATCTTCTATATTTTTTTAAATTTAAGGGTGATAGGTCCTTTTTAGTTTCTAGAAATTCAATTTTAATACTAAAATTCATTTTTTTTTATTTTTCAATCTTTTTATTCAATAGAAAAGAGGGAGGGAGAAAAGCATTGAATTCTAGTGAAGAGATAGAAAGTGGTTATTGACAACAATTTTACCATCAAAATAATTGAAGTTGGCGTTAATGAAGTTGGCGTTAATGTATTCTTATTTTATGATGGGAGTTTTATTTAAATATATTTTTTTTCATCTCTTTATTCGAGGAGGCAGATCTAACCGTGAAAATGTTTTTGGGTTCTGGTTGATTTTAGCTTCTTGAGTTATTTTTTGATTTTTTTTTATTTAAGGTCATGAATAGATTTATTAAGGTGTTGAGGGTATTTTTTAAGGTGCTAGAGGTTAAAAAATGGATTGAAAACAAGTTTTAAGATAAAAAAAACAAATGCTCCATTTTTCTAGCGATATCTGGTCACTAAATTCTACATAAAGCAAATAACATAATATTTGTTATCTTATTTAAAAAACAAGATCCCATTAATAAAAAATTTTAAAAAATAAAGTTAGGTTCAAGAATACGGGCTAAGCTACATGACCCAGATGCCTTGGCTGGTCTTTTTAACTCAACATGCGTGGGCTCTTTTTTTCAAGACTTTATATACACACACAAAATTAATAAAAACATTTATTAAATTTAGTTGAATTTATAAATGGAGTGGTAGGTTTAGCGAGTTCATTTTTAGTATTCAAGATATTATTATTTTTTTCCCCTTAACTTAAAAAAAAATGACCATTTTTTGTTATTAATGATTTTTTTTATTTAGATCAAAACTAAAAAGATATAATTTCACAATTTATTATTAAAGATCTATTTTTACCTTCTCATCCACATATGTCCATAATGACCTTATTCCTTTAAAAAAATTCTTTCAAAAAAATTCTCATTCGCTATGTCATTGTAAACTTAAATAAAAATAATTTTTGGTATAAAAAATTATTAAATTCAATAATGTTAATGACTTGTATCATAAATTTACTTGGTTGACTTATATTTACTTAGTTTTTTTAATTAAATATTATTTTTTATCACTTTCATTTATTGAGTTCAATAAAAATTGAACTTTTGATTTTATTTTCATTAAGATTATCCCTATAATATTTACATGCCACCCAAGTTAACCAAATGTGTTTGTATTTAATATTAAATAAAAGTATTATTTAATTCATGGTTAATTTTTTTTTAGTACATAAAATCTTTTTTCTCTCCAAACCAAAGCATGATGCAAACCAATGGACTAGTGAACTTCTACCGTTGGTATTTAATATATGAATGTTAAGTTTCAACTTCAATTTTGAATTTCTTGTAATTTCAACTTTATTTTTATATTTATGTATTTATTTTTTTCAAATGTTAAAGATTCACTATAAAAAACCCATTTAACCAAATTACTCAACTTCATTACATTAATTTACTTACATCCAAACCATTTTTTGTCATTAGCTAATGAAATGCTTCTAGACCTCAAGCTTGCATTCATCTTTTTACAGAAAAATATTCTAGAATCTACTTTAGGTGAGAAAATTCACTTTTTTTTAATATTTTTATTCTTCCCTCAATTTTATTTTATTTTTTTAATTTTTGGATTGTTTTTCTTAAATCTCAAATTTTAAAATCTATTTTAGTTGTGGACCCAAATTAACAGTGTCACCAGGGATATAATATGATCAAATTCAGAGGGTACAGGGAACATCAGTGGCTTTTAGCCAGCATCAAAAGTCTGCCCTCATTGTCATTCTCTCGATTTTCCTTCATATTTCCTAACAATTTAAAGACCTTTTTCTTTTTCCCAAACTTTCTTTCCTATCTCTTTTGTTCCCCCCATTTCCCCTCCACTGAAAACATGTTAAGCCAAGAAAAAGATCCGAGTATGAATTAGAAAAAAAAAAAAAAACCTAAAAGATAGAAAAAGATCCGAGTATGAATTAGAAAAAGAAAAAAAAAACCCTAAAAGATAAAAGGATTTAGTAGTTAGTAATTAGTAATTAGCAAGAATTTGCCATTCAATGCCTAGCAAGTTCCGTTCATTCTCCAACTGTTAAACACAAGATGGATTAAGGTTTTTATTTGTATTTTTTCCATCTATAAAACCCTCCAAAGGAGGGAGGGGACATTGGAGACAGATTTCATAGATGTTGTAATATTTAAGCCCTAAAGTTGGATTTCCTAGAAAACCAAGCAAAAAAGCTAAATTATTTGGTACACATACCAAGTAAAGGTAAACAAAACAAAGTCAAACGTTTCTCTTCAAAAAATAAAAATAAAAAGGGGTTTCGTCGTCCCCCTTTGATCAAAAGGCTGGATCAAAGGCTGTCTGCTCCCCAGCAGCAGAGCACCAACTCTGCAATAACAATAGAAACGAAGAAGTTCTGAAAACTGCAATATATTTTTCTCCAATTAATTCACAGATATATCAGAAAATACCACAAAATGATAGACAGATCAGAAAAAGGGCTCTAACAATTTGTATCACGGGGAGAAACAAGGCATAAAATAAACAAATTTCTTGTGCATATTCTGAGCTTATTATAACCACATGCACGACAGTAATTAATGGCCTCCATTGTTTGCAAGAAAAAATAAATAAAAATAAAAATCCAAGGTGAAATATGATAGTTCTGCTGATTTGATTTCTGATACTATGTGAAGTAATTTTGCTTCCTAACAAAGTGCTAAACATTTACAATTTGACATCAGCAAGGCAAAATATCTTTCTACAATGGTCAATCCCCAAACAGGGCCAACAGAAGTCATTAGGGACACACCATATAATAACCATGTAGAAATACGCTAATTCAAGTCCCGGAGTTCTGAAAACAGTTGAGACCATCCTAGTTGCTAGCTGATTATGACAGCGGATATGAACAAGGGATTGACAATCCAGCTTGTCATTAGACATGATAGATGAAAGATTTACCTCTGAATAGTAACAAACTTATATACACTTGGGAAGTATCACCCTTTTCAGCTTTCCGGTGTAAGAAGCCCCATTTGTTCAGCTAGACGATTCATATGTTGAATATTGTCCCATCCATTGTCCTGCCATGATTGCAATTCATGCTCCTTGCTCATGCTACTTTCTGGAGAGCATGAATTAATTTCATCTGTCTCCCCATTGAGTGGGCTTGCTGTAAGAAATTGTTCCCAGAACACATCATTAATGCCAGGAAGCTTATGGTTTCCATCCAGAAAGACTTCCTCATCCTGGCTGGGAGAGAGAGCTTCAGTTTCTACAGGCACTGGCGCATCCAACACAGATGACATGGTGTCAAAAAACTCTGCATTCCCCTTCTCAGACCTTGCAATATTCATGTTAGGACCTCCAGCTGAGCCTCCGGGCACAATTCCTGTCATTGCAGTGAAGTTGGGCAGGATGGTATTTTGCCCAGAATTATGCATGCCCATCTCAGCAGTATAATCTGTTTTAATATAGTCGGTTGCCACAGAAGCAGGAGATGGGACCTCAGAAATGGCAGTAGTTGAATGGCTGGCTGGGAACCCAGTTTCCATAGGCAAGTATGATGGCCCAGAAGCTGTTGGAACCTCTGAAAGCATCACTCCTGACATCCGAGTTGAAGAGCTCCCACTGTCTAATCCATTGGACGAAGGATGATTATCGATCAGTAAGGGACCAGAATTGTTCATCGATGGTTCCAGCCTAGGTGATGAGTTCATCTTCAGGATCTGGTGCAACATTGCTTTTGCTGCTTCATTCATTGAAGAATGGAATTTGATAATCTGCCCATTAGGAGATGTTTTGCATTGCACACCAGCCAAATTCTCTTCCTCCTGCCTTGGAAGTCTCCTCTTTTTACTAGCACCAGCAATGCGTCTGTTGCTTTCATTTTGCTGCTGTACAAGCTGACTTAAGAAGCCTGGACTCTGCATGGCCTTCGCAAGGAATGACATCATTTGTTGCTGTCGCTGCTCCATTCCCTGTACACGTTGGCCCACAGTGTGCAACTGGTGATCTGTGGCTTGCTGCTGCTGCCTCAGTCTAACAAGTTCCTGCATGAGAACATTTTTGTCTCGTTTAAGTCTTTCAACCTCTTCCTCAAGCCCAAACTTCCCAACCTCAACGCATGTGGTAACCGAAGAGCTCTGAGGTGGTAGGTTACCATGAACAGTTTTTTTCCTAGATATACTCCTCAGAAGGTGTTTTTGGCCCCTTAAGAACCCCTCATTCGCAAATTCAAAGCGATCAGGATCAACCTTCCTGAAACCCTGCTCAATCATGGTAGAAAAGGTAAAAAATGAATGATATACCATATAAACACCATGATTGTTCACCATTATATAGAATATATTGATGTAAGAATGTTGAAAGCTTTGAATTTCAGCTTATCAATAATAAAAAAAAAAAGTAAAAAGCTAAAAGGAGCACCATGCAAATTCAAGGTCCCATGTCCAAACATCCACTAATTTTCATATTCATTTGGATTTCACATTATAAATGTAACTTCTTGAGTTTAAGCACATGAACAAAAGTAAAAAATCCATCTCCATTGACCTGCCCACTGAGCACACAATTACCGTGGCTGACAACAAGGAATAGAATTCAATGTCATAAGTGATGCATGTGCATGCTCGAAAAGTTGTATGACAATGGATGGTTAACAAATGGCAAAAGATGATACGACACATTTATATCCAAAGACTGCACAGGGGCACTTTGAACTTTTTAAGTAGCCTAACTTTCCAAGTTCATGCGAGTCGGTCTACAAAAGTGCAGTCACCTTACATGATCTTTGTATAATAACAATGAATCTTGTGGTATCTAATATTTCATAATGTATTTCCCAGGAAACTTGACTAAAGCAAAAATGGCAACATGAATTTGAGCTTTGTCTGATCATCTCCAGGATTGCTCTCTGACATTTATAATCTTCTATGCTACGATTTACAGCACTAACAATTAAAGCTTGTTTTACAGTGCCATCCATTATCATCATAGGGTATAAAATAGACTCAAGTTTCTAGAATTGAAACAAGGAAGCAACATTTTACCAAACATTTTTCAACTGTATTTCAGATATAGAATCTGAATGAAAAATGCATAAGCAAAAAAGTGATGTAAAAAATGTCCACTAGAAGATAACAGCAACCATAAATTAAATGATAAGAACACTCTATTAATTCCTTGGAGAAAAGTTCAGATTCAAAGATCCAGACTCCAATCCAGGATCAAGAAGGCAATCATAGTTGTATCCTCCAAATATTAAAATGAGAGAGAGTTAGAGACAAAGAAAAAAAAGAAACATGGCATGCTTAGAATTCACCTTATAGTAAAATATCATTCATTACCACCTAACCACGAGGACCTATATTCGCTAGAAAAACACAAATATCAGGTAATCCACTATTTTATGCAAATAAGCATGCAGATTTAATTATACATACAACCCTGAGAACTATGACCCAAAATAAAAAATTAAAATCTAGAGCTAAACTTGAGTCAAAATTTACAGAATACAGCTCCAATTGAATGAATCATGATTAATAAAAAAAAGCTTATAACAACTAATAGTGAATGCACAACAAATTACATAAAAAAAATCAATATTATGTGATTTCATGGAGAACTTACAAGTCACAATCTGAAGATTAAACTGGTTAAAATAGGAATTATCTCAGTTAACTCACAATACCAACACAATTATTGACAGACCATGTTTTTGCCAAGTAAAACCAGCATTGGTCAAGCATACCCAATCAAGGTGTAAGTTGACCTGCAATTTTCAAGCACATGGGTTAATATACACCATGCTTTATGCGCTTCTTGACAACAAAGAACAATTTGACAAGCATGCAGTCAATTCCATGTAATTCAAAAAATTCAAAACCAAGCACTCAAATGCTATAAAGAAAAATGTTTTGCACATAAAAAGATATCAAGACAAAGTAACAAGATTTTCATGAGGTCCAGTGGTCAAAGCTTGATGATAGAAACAATATATTAAAGGAGAAACCGAAGGACAAACCTAGAATCAAGGAGGCTTAGGTAGTTAAAATGGCGAAAGAGTGGTTTCAGGAACTGAATCAGTCATTCTATATGCTGAGTTATCCAAATCTAGCATGAGTTATTCACATATAACTGGGAATGCATGCTAAGATGAAAAAGAACACTCATCTTCAATATTTTTATCGAACAAAGATTTATTAGAAAAGGAGATAACAGAAGATAAAAATAAGAGATAAGACATCCCTAGAAGGAATCCCAAAAAAGAAAAAGCATAGATAAAATAGCTGGAAATCCCAAAATATGTGAACAAACCCACAACTCACCCAAAAACCATGCAGAATAATAGGGAAACAACCCACCAAATCCTGCCATTGAACAAGCAATTCCAGTTGCTCCAAGCAGAGCTGCAAATATCATTATGTATTCTAGGTCCATAAACTCACATCTACTATTTCAACTACACCCTCACTAATGAACCAGTACTTGCATGTGCTCCATGTAGAGCTCCATAACATCATTATGTAAATTTTCTATGTCCAACAAACTCGTATATTCTTTATTTGAATAAATCCAAACTACTCTCCTCTATAAATCCAACGAACTCATATCTTTGATTTGAAGTTGAACAAACCCTGCACACACGCATGTGTCTGCAGACACACAAAGAAAATGCACTTGGCACTCATTTAATTATCTGAAATCAATACCAAATGCTTGTGCGTATGTTGAACTTAAAAAGATACAATCCATAGAAGCCATTAGACACCATCAATGATTCGAATAGGTACTTCTCATTTCAGATCACCTTTTAAAAACAGTTAGGTCTCATCGTAACGGATTTCACATTCCCTAACCACTTTAAAAGCAACTCTGGAGCTGATTTCGAGTTAATCTAGCATAATATACCAGCTTACAATTCAAAGAAAATTTATTACTAGAGAAGAATTGAAATCAACAAATACAGCGATAAATAGTAAATATCTCTCAGCAGGATTAATATGGTTTTATTGAGAAAAACAAGCAAGCCATAATGTTTCTACAGTGAGATACAGGGCAAGCACGGTCTTCAGGCAAGTTTGTGATGACAGCAACAACAAAATAATATTTCAATGTTTGCTTCACCCAGATAGCATATTCCACCCAGTAACTCCATAGAAGAAATTCGTCAACTCTAATAAAATGAAAAGCATCTCAAAAAAAAAAAAAAAAAAGAAACAAGAGGAAGAAAACTGGTTGATAATAAAATAACAAGCGCTCTGAAGGAGGTAATATCTGGATGGGCGGATAGGCAGGCAGCCACCCACCCAGCCGACCTCACTCTTACTGATATTGCCAGAATGAAATACTAAAAAGCTGAAAAATACATTACCTCTCATGGCATTAAGCTTGGGATAAATGGACACACAAATTGCAGTGAAATTAACATAGTTGTCCAACTTCCGATTATAATTCAAATACATGGGCGATCGAGAAATTGAAACTAGATCCATACACCCTAATAATAATAATTAAGAAAAACACACATACGTAAGTATTCAATTGCCTGACAAAGCTGGAGAAGTTGCTGTGCTTGAAGTATTTAGGCAAAAGATCTGTTTGAAACTCTGGGACATTCCAGACCACAAAACTGTTATCGCTGCTACTCCACGACACCACTGAATCCGTCGACGGGTCGTCTACCATGTCGTAGGTCTTGCTTAGAAATGGAGGCACCGTGTTCGCGTTATTATTCCCACTATCCATTCTAATCATAAATTAAATAAGAAAGAGAGAGTTTTTTTTTTTTTTGGTGCAAGGGTTTTTATATGTAGCAGTAGCACTACTACTGGAGAGCGAGAGGATTTTAGAATCAGAGGATATTATTTATTTGTCAGTGAAGATCGACGTAGAGAAAGGGTTGAAGAAGAAGACTTGAAAAAGAAGGAAGGATGCCGATTATTTATTAAAATAAATAATAAATAATAAATATATAAATAAAAATAAAAATAAACCGATAAAATGATTTTTAAAAAAAATTCATAGTTTAAAAAATTAATTTTCTCACATATTTCTTCCTAATAATTTATTTAATTATTTTAAAAAAATCATTTTAAATTATCTCTTCATAATCTTTCCATCTATTTCAAAGTAGTTTAATAACTAAATTATTTTTAAAAATAAAAATTACTAAACTAACTTTTAAAGACTTTTACGTATTTTTATTCTGATTTGTTATACAACCAAATAAATTGAGAAGCAATTTAATAATTCAATAAATATAAGTTATTTCTATAATTTTTAGATAAGGAATGATAAAATTTATGGTGATCAAATAATAGTTTCAGAATGTTTCAAGGTCTTTTATCCTTATCATCACATGCTTTTAACATATTTTTAATTTGAAATAAATAATATTTTTTTTTCTCGTTGATTTTTATGCATAACTGTGATCAAATAATAGTTTCAGAATGTTTCTCAAATTATCTTTGTAGGTCTTTTATCCTTATCATCACATGCTTCTAACATGTTTTTAATTTGGGATAAATAATTTTTTTTTCATTGATTTTTATGCATAATTTTTTAAATTTTTAAAACAATCTTCTAATTTATATTATTATTTATTTTATTTAAAATAATTTATCAAATCAATTTTTTTTTCAATCTTATCCTCCTTTATTTATTTTTCTCATTTTTCAGATCCAGCCCTCATTCTTTTTATTGTTAATTGTTTCATTTGAGATAGTTTTTAAAATTGAATTTGTTTTACGATTTCATCCTTCTTTAATTTTTATTTCTATCATATTTGATCCTTATTTTTTTTTATTGTTATTTATTTTACTTTGGTGATTTTTGTTATATCAATGTTTTTTTTATTTCATCTTTTAATATTAAATTAGTTGCAGATTGAGTTTCTTAATCGAGCATGAATATAAGATTTCACGAGTTGTGGATTTGGAAGATTAACCTGGGTTTAGGAGATTCGCCTAATTTACTTAGTTTTTTTTCTTTTCTTTTTTAAGTTCATATTTTCATAGTTTCATCCTTCAACATTTATTTAATCGGAGATTATTTTTTATTTTTTTTATAGGATTTTTTGTTGATTTTGAAAATAACCTAAGTTATCTTTAGTCTTTTTAGTTGTTGTTTTTTTTTGTTAAATTTGTCATTTTTAAAGAAACTTTGTTTTATAATTAAATTAATTTATTAAATATAAACATCATATGCTTCATTTTCCTATGTTTGCTTTTTGGGTAGTTGCTTTAATGTCGCATGCGACCTTTTTTAGTGTTTTCGTGTAGCCTTTCATAATGGCATTAAAATCATCCCAGTGAGTTTTTTTTTTGGTGGGGCAGTGTCTACAATGAAGTGATAGTGAGTTTCCAACAGATTTTTCTTTTTTCTTTACCAAGTCTGATATTGATAGCTCATTTTTTTTGTTCAATTTATTTGTTATCGATGCTATTTTTTTCCTAATCATATTATTAAATTAATTGAGTTTGTTAAACACAATCAAGTCAATAACTAGGATCTCAAATTTTTTTTACTTCTTTAAAAACATTGGCATCACCTTACATCCTTTTTAAAAAAAAATCCAGCTCTAAAACATACCACCCATGTGCTATTAAAATAGTTTTGAAGTACATATTATACATGATGTCAAAACAACTTCAAAACATGTTATACATATATTGTCAAAAAAATCTATCAATCACCACCAAACTCGCTGCCAATATGTCCCTCAAACGTATTTCAGTACATTATTGAAAAAGCCCCCTAAGCACACCAAGTGTAGTCTCACAACTATTCTCTATACAACTCTTTTCTGGCAAAGTCTTGTTATCTCATTAACTAATATTTTCAGCTCAATTGACCTAAATCTTAATCTGGTGATTCCCTAAAACTTTCTAAAGGCATCTTAATTGAATTCAAAACACTTTGATTATAAGGTTGTCATTAGATACTTTTGATTGTGGGTTTGACATTTTGACATTTTTTTATGCCAAAAAATTGAGAAGTTGATGGCATGATTCTCTCCTCCTCTTCCTAATTGTAAGGTTAAAATTAAGACCCCTTGCTATCATTGATTATTTTTCAATTGATTTCATTATGGATTTTCTTGTAAACTTTTAAAAATATTTATACAATATGTAGGGGTTAGATAACATACATGCATCTTTACCTGGTTTAAAATATAAACCTCTCCTCTTCGATGCTCCATTGTTATAGGGTGCCTTAGCTTTCCATTTAAAGCCTTCTTAATCCTCTAATTCATTAGCTTATTTAAGTTTATCATATGTCAATCCTCTACTCAAATGTAAATGCTCTTTCTAGATTGTTCACTGTAATTACTACTCTTATTATTTATCATATCTGACTAATCCCCTCAAATGTGGTGTTGTTTACCTTATTACAAAGAATTTTAACAAATCATTCAACTTATTGGATTATTTTGAAAACCACCCCCTAATTAGCTGTATGTATTCTGTCAATAATTGTTAAAAGGTTTTCTGGTATCGACCTCATCTTAGATTGCAAATTAGCTATGATATTATCCCTAGTTGAATCACATTCTTCAAGCATATGTTATTATCAAACTTCATGGAATTGTCAAGTCATTTATCATGTATCTCATTGTTTATAGCAAAGGCTCATCATAATATGTCAAGTCATTTATCATGTATCTCATTGCTTATAGCAAAGGCTCATCATAATAAAAAGGAAAATGGGACTATTGGATTTTGTGACTTGTCCTCGGCGGAAAATGGAACTATTGGATTTTGTGACTTGTCCTCGCCTATATGTCCTTTTGACCTTTCACCCACCCACCGCCAGTGGAAGCAAGCTAGCCTCTTGGTTGTCCCTTTCTTTCCCCTTTTGAAAATAATAAGGTAAGCATTCAAGCCCAACAAGAAAAGGCCCATCACTATAGATAGGCTAACGCGCCTTGTGTTAGAATAAACAAATAATCGTGGTCAGGTACTAGTTGAGAGAAAGATTTATTTAATGTATGGGGGAGACAACCTTAGGTTAATGGGAAGAGTGTTAATAGCTGTATTTTTAGGAGATAGTTAAGTTTTGGGGGTTGTCCCTAGAGCTTTAGCATGATAGAAGATCATTGAAAAAATAATTGGAGGGGAACTACAAGTCTCTACAATGTCTGATCGAATAAATGTCATATTTAAACACATTGATGCTTTCATTACCTTATCAAATGGTCTAAGCATATTGGAAGAGATCTTTTATATTTTCTCTTGGGTCCAATTGCACATTCATCATAAATCTATAAGTCTGTTAAATGTTAATGGATTTTATGATAAATTGTTATCTTTTTTTGATCATACTGTGGAACTGGAAGTTCTAACATCTTCAGCACGACAACTCAGAATCTCTGCTGTTACTGCTAAACAATTGATTGACCAACTACAATCTTTCACTCTTGTAATTGATCCCTCCATGAGTAGTATAAATTAGTCAATTAAGAAAAGCCATAAAAAGTTTAGATTGGATTTGAGTCTTAGTTTGTGAATCCTTGTATCTTTTGGTTTTATTAGTAGAGCATAATATTTATGTTTTGTTGTTTCTTATTTTTTTTTAAGTATGTTTCATGTTTGTCAGTAGTCGCAATTTCAGGTGATGTCTTCTATACTCTATCTTTTTACCTTTGAACATTGAGGACAATGTCTTGTTTTGGTTGGGGGGAAAGGGTAGTAGTTGTTATTAAAAAAAATTAACTGTGTTGTCTATCTCATAAACCATTTGCAAAACTGTTTTACTAGGATGACAAAGTAAAAGAGTTTTTTTGTTAAAGTGACTCTTGATATGCATCTTAAGTAAACATTCTTAATAAGGTCTATAAGAATACTTCTTGAAATATTCAGGTTTGCAAACTCTCGCATTGTTATCACTTAATTCTGCTCATATACTCATTTAACAAGTATTCTTAAACCTTCATTTTCACACACACTCTTTGACATATGATTATGAGTTGCATGATTAGTACTTAAAAGTGCATTTTTATCAAGGTTTTATATCATCATTTTGCACTTGAAGTATCAATAACTCCTTAACTAAAACATGTTTTATAATAACGTATCTAATAATATAAGATACCT